TTGGTTTCAGGTATCGGGAACATTTAAGTTATCTTTAAAAAATTATAAATCATAGTCCCTATTCATTAGGCTTTCCATGTTTATCAATGTTAAGCATCTCGGCAACTAAATCTTAGTATAAAACACAAACTCTTCGTCAGTGATTTTTGGTTTTCTCCCACAACTCCGAATCTGATTGCTTCGTCGTCACAATATACTTTTACAGATTTCATTAAACATACTCGACATCATTGTATAGTTCATCGTTGTGGTTTCGTCTTTTTATTTGTTCATCTGACTATTAAAAGTGAAGAACGTATAAGAAATGGAGCGAAAAAGTTATTAAAAGCCAGAAATACAACTACTCAAGGTCGAATAGACAACTTTTTCAGCTGTGTTCCATCAAAAAGTAATGTAAGTACTGCCAATGGAAGCTTATTATTTGACAATTTTTTTTATTGTATTTAGTTACAAAGATGAACTCGAATCATCTGGTCTATAATACATATTAATGAATTGTGTAGCTTTGATGAACAAGTCCTCAATAACTTTTAACTCATGTTACCACACTGGCATTTGTTGTTATCTAGTTAATTACTCTCGCTTAGATTACTTTCATGTGCTCAGGTTCATACTCGTCACTGTATAAACAGAATCCTATCACTATTTTTACTTCTGAAAATGGTAAGCTCTCTTGTCAAAATCTTCGTTTTTTCTTATTGCGATGTTTGAGCGCATATGCGATTGAAATCCTGTCTTTAAATTCCAGAGGCTACTAACAAGTGATAATTAAAGAGATTTTGTTCCAGAATAAGTACAAGACTATTATTAATTAGTGCGCCAGCAACTTATCGTAATCTGTCGATCCATTGCTTTAAGACTTGATTAAATCAAATGATGTCTGTAACTTCATGATAGTGATGTTAACGTTTGGAAGTACAAATTTTCTTAGTATTTTGCGTACTTAGAGCTTCAGATTTATGAAATGCATATGGTTTGCTACTTGTATACGAGCCTTATTCATCTAGACAAAGCATCTGCTCAAACTTATCCTTAATAGGTAAAATAACAGAAAAAGCATACGACAATCCTATCGGTGATTTCACATTTATTCAAATTATTGTTTACGAACTTTTACCTATGTACATTTTCACCTGTAAGTAAATGTTTTGGTGTATGCTTGTCTCATGCGTCGGTTACTGTTCTCACTCTTTCCTTGTAGTCATCCACGTCGACTCCCAACAGCAATCACAAAAAGGTATCAAACAGTGCATCTGATCGTAAACGTAAAAGTAACGCTGGTACGACGAACGGATACAAAAAGCCAAAATAAACCAAACATCCCTAAAATTTCTCCAAAACTGTTTCCGGTGAATTGTTACCACTTTCGTCAGTTTCATGTGTTCTTCACATGTGTATGTACTTGTTCATTATAGCTCATCAGATCTTTAGAATAAATTATTTATTGGTGTGTATGAAATAAGGCTCGGTTTCCTCCTTTATACCAATAAGACACTAATTTGTCTTAGACGAATATCTACACTAGACACCTTGCCAGTTTATTCTACAGGATTTCAACACAACTTGGATCAAGAAGACGTGGCCAACCTAACAGGAACGTGAGTATATTTCCACGCCAAAAATAGTACCAAAGGGTAGGAAAATACATAGCGCACCTAATATGTCAGACTACTTACTAGTTCGGCAAGGTAAAAGACCGATCACTAGCTTCCTAGCCCACACATCAGTGTATGACACCTGAAAATCGTTTGCTGGGGTCATAACTCATTTCTTCAATAGTACTTTTCAGGACTACGTGCTCAGCCAAATCTCATTCCCGGTCTTGCTACTATTTCACTGTTGATAGATCCAATAGACGTTGGAATATTTCTTCACCATTGCTATAGTATTTTTATGTAGCTTTTGGTACCCGTGTAGTAAGGACATACGACACAAGGTATGATTAATTTAGAGTACGAAATTACTTAATTAACAAGTGTATCTAATCTCAAGTGTCTTCATCCCCATGTTTCTAGAATGAGACGTGCGTTTTAATATCTTTCTCTTCGGAGCTAAGGTTTTGTAGCAGGTTTTCATTCCTTATGCCGTAACGTTAGTTATATCATAAAGGGGCTGACCTGGTTTTTTATCGCAGCATTAGTTCTCGCCTTCCAAAATCGTTCTCCTGTATTGGAGTTAGGAATTGCGGAAAATCCTGATAATATGTGTGCCCGGAAATATCACCAACCCATCATTTCTGTGGAGTACAAGATCAACGACGGTCAAGGCAAATGCTGGAGACACAGAAGCGAACGAGCAAGTGAAGAAGAGTATCAAAGCCGACAAGCAAAAATACGTTGAAGACCTAGCAACGATAGCAGTAAAAGCTGCAAGAGAAGGAAATATGACACAACGAACAAACTAGCAGTTAAGGACAAACAAGGCAGGAAATCACAGATTCAAGAACAGAGGAACAGGTGGGTTGAACACTCCGAAGAACTCTTGAGTAGACCAGCCCCACTGAACTCTCCGGACATTAAAGCGGTATACATAGATATTCCTATAGCTGTCACTCCACCAATTATCGAAGAAGTCAGCATGGCCATAAGACAAATCAAAAGTGGGAAAGCAGCAGGACCTGAAAACATATCAGCTGAAGTACTGAATTCAGACATAGAAGCAACTGTAAAGATGCTCCACGTTCTATTCAGAGATTTGGGAGTAAGAACAATTGCTGGCAGACCGGAAAGAATACCGCATCAAGATACCAAAGAAAGATCTGAACAAATGTGAGAACTACAGAGGTATCACACTACTACCGGTACCAGGAAAAGTTTTCAACAGAGTATCGCTAAACCAGATGAAAGATTCAGCTTCGAGATCAACAGGCTGGATTCCGTAATTATCGGTTGTACACAGGCCAAATCGCGACACTACGGATCATCACGATTGATTGATCACTGGGTGGTGATCAATGTCATGCTTGTCTAGTCCTTATTAGTGCACATCGAATGCTATCGATCATGTTGCAATGTGGCCACCAGTCTAGGTGACTCGACACTGCAGGCACTGTATATTGAGATTCAGATTGTGGTTGGAGGTAGTCAACAGGAAACCCTGGACCCGGGTTTCGTGCCACTTGGCACTCGTCAGCAAGGTGTACCTGTAATCTTGAGGGAACTGGTGCTCCCTGGCGGATTCGATCCCGTGTCACCCAGCTTCACAGTCAGAGACGTTACCACTGAGCTAAATCTCAATATATAGTGTCTGCAGTGTCGAGTCACCTAGACTGGTGGCCACATTGCAACATGATCGATAGCATTCGATCTGCACTAATAAGGACTAGACAAGCATGACATTGATCACCACTCAGTGATCAATCAATTGTGATTACATCTCAGTCGCGGCTCGGATAGCTCAGTGGTAACGTCTGTGACTGTGAATCTAGGTGACACGAGAGCGAATCCGCCAGGGAGCACCAGTTCCCTCAAGATTACAGGTACACCTTGCTGACGAGTGCCAAGTAGCACGAAACCCGGGTTCAGGGTTTCCTGTTGACTACCTCCGACCACCATCTAAACTACGGATCATCGTTGAGCAATCAATTGGATGGAACTCGTCACTTCATCTTCCTTAACTAAGATGAATGAACAGCGCCGATAGGAAGACGTTATGCATCCCTCTTCGACATTATGGAGTATTTGACAAGATCTTCACCACCATACGGAATTTTTACGACGGACTAAAGTACTAAGTAATGCATGTAAGACAACTCACAGATTCATTGCAAGTGGAGATCAGTGTTAGACAAGGCTGATTGCTTGTTCTCGCCTTTTCTTTCTTCTGGTGTTTGATTGGATTATGAAGATTTCCGCATCTCAACAGAATCACGGAAACCTCGGACGCAACTAAATAATCTAGACGTCGTGGAACACCTAGATTTTCTATCCCTTACACAGCAACAAATGCGGATGAAGACAGCCAGTTTAGCTGCAGCCTCAAAATACATTAGGAGACGAATGATTAAGGGACGTCAGAGAGATATGATATTGAAATAAAGTGTGGCAAAGTATATAATTTCTTGTAAACAGATCGTAAGAATAAAGATTTTCGCATAGAGGTGCCTTATAAATACTTGAAGCAATTCCATATGAACTGGAATCAAACACTAGCACCAAATAAACAACCACCATTTTCAAATACTCGATACGAAAATGACTACCCCGTAACAATGCTGTTTCAAAACTGGCTGGGATTCGAAACATTACTAGAAAATACATCAAGCGTACCCAGCAAATGAACTGTTATATGAGAAGCATATTTTTTATACTCTGACACCTTTCTGTTACCTTTTCCGATACGCTTAGCTGTTGCATTTTAGTTTTGATATAGCCTCAGAATTGTTGTACTGTTTCTTAAGGTTCTGCTCAAAAGTGCAGGTCACAGTTCTAGAAACTATATATAGGAAATCAATTATGGGTACGATATTCCATTGGTTTGAATAAAAAGGTTGTACTTAAGCTGTATGTTCAACACCAAGTCCAATATTAGCTCAACTAAGTCGATCATGATTCGAAATGAAAAGGAGCACTTGTAAGAAGATAAATCAGTTCAACTTTTATAGCTATAACACTAAAATACTAGTAGTTCGAAGGAAGTTTTTTTATATATAAAGTTAGCAATAAGGAGACAGTACAGTCGTAATTCGCCTATTTGTCACGTACGCAATATCTGAACCGTTATTAAAGACGACATGCATTTCCCAATAAACCCCAAAAGCAAGAAGCTATTTACCACATCTCACGAATAAATGTCAATATTAAAAATAATTTCCAAGGTATTTTTACGACGAAATTGTAATTTATGCTTTCTAGTACCAACGAATAAGACATTTCCCGAGACGCTAAAAATGTATCACTTACTTAATCAGTTGGTAAATGGTTACCACAAGACTGATCGCAAACGATAACCATTAAATATACCAATCATCAAGGTTCACTTTTGTTCAACTTTGTACGACATATGACACTTGACAACAATTATGGATAATTCAACTAAAACTACATAGTATTAATGTTATAACTCTTTCATTTGATTTACTAAAAACAGCAGTCAACTGGCAATTGGATTCATTAGTTCTGATAGGCATATTCAGTAATAACAACACAAGTGTGCAATAGTTAATTATAAGATTTCAATTATCACTATACATGTTTATTTACAAAATACTAAGGTGTATAAATTAAAATTGATCATCATCAATCACATTGCTGCTTGAAAGAGGAAGAATGGGCCATGTAAAGAGATTTCCGTCAGCTCCGCAGGTATACAATTCTAAACGACGATCGTTCCAAACACATGCACGTATCTAAAATTCATAAAAACTCTGCTGAGGACAAACGGTATTTTAAATATAAGTACTTAGAAGTAAAGCCTCAATAATGGATGCACGTCCAAATGCATTCGTGGGATGTGTGCTTCAGTCTGAATCAACGCTAAACTAATGAACCATGAAAGAGAAACAGTTAGCACTTAAACATACAAATTAACTAGACCACGACTAACTAGCACACCAAGTTTGGCTTCAGTCATGATGCATTGAACTGAATCGAGTTAGGCAATTCCGCTATTTTGCGCACTCGAAAGGTTGTATTACCAAATGAAGAAACTGGTAGGGATGTAGGAAGCTGATGTAACACTTATCAAACTACTTCAACTATTATTCGGGTGAGGTATGTACCTACAAAGAGACGTTAGATGACAACTAAGATATTGAATTTTAGATAAGTCAGCTAATTAGGACCAATCTGAAGTTACTAAGGTTATTAGGGATGTCGCACACTGGCACTAGGATTATGATTCCGATATGTACCAAAGTGAATCTAAGAATAACTGAATTGTAAGTCTGGTCAATAGTAAAAATAAAGAACATCTACAAAGATTTTTTTGCATATTTAGTTAGGTATAAATATGAATATCAAAGCCACAGTGTATAACAAAATAGTGAGTTTACTAACAAATGAAAAACAGTTGGCATAATTCAAGAAACCCACTTTTGAAAAGTGTCGCGTTATAATTTTAGTCGATGTGTTGTGTTTAGACGCTGAAGCAATTAATAAGCGGTTTCTTACAGGAACAAAAATACATAACGATGAGGCTCCCCACAAATCGCCTATTGACATATGTGTGGTATCCAATCTTATTGGCAAGACAGACGATTGTGGACTCTGATTCCCACTTCCTGAGGAATTAGAACTTGTAAAAGTTTGATTCCCAGCGTCAGAAATTTGGTTACTTTCCGAGTTGAGAATTATGTTTCCAAAGTTCACGGGACGCAATCTAGGAATATGTGATGATTGCTCACAATCACCAGGACCAGACGTCCAAAGACGAAGGGATGCAGCATTTACGGTTAAACCGGAACCACCCCATGAAATTAAATGCAAACCATCTGATGAAAATTTGAGGCCTAGCACAGGTCCTGTATGTGCAATAGCTGAAAAAACGTACAAAAACATGTACACCTTTTGGGTGGTTGTTTATCTTAAATGTAGGATAAAATGGAATGTAAAAGCAGACTGACAAAATTGAAAAATCTCATTTATTTGAAAACCATATCGTATTTGTTCTATGAATGTTCATGTGATTGATTTAAAGAGGATTTACTTCATGAAAATTGAGTAACCCGCAAACTAACGACTCATCTTTTGAGTCAACTCATGAAAATGGATAGGCGTAAACCCTAATTAAAAACATGAGAAACACGGCTAATATCAAAAAGCATAAGACAATATCTGCACACGCAATTCAACACGGGGTGACTAGCAAATGTGTTATATAAAACTACACAAAAATAAATGATTGATAAGAAAAAAGCAGGTTGTATAGAACAATCATCGAGACTAAATGTCTTGTTCATTTTCAAATAAACACACTGGATGAGCTTTGGTAAACAGATGGAATATTTTATTTATTTAAATACGTAAATATTGGCAATGTGAGTTATTCAAGTTAGTTTAACCGTTATATTAGTGAATCTGATAACATGCTTCTACCAGTCATGTAAAATTACCTTGCAATTAGGCGTTAAGTACACACTATACATACGGACACTGATGGTCAACTAATTAGGTAAGCTAATACCGGTCACATAAATATTGAAAGGATTTTTCTCATGTAAGAGATCTACATCACCGTTACCTGCAATCATTACAGCTGTTTTCAGACTGTCAGCAATGACATATTCGAAGAATAACAATGGAGTTGGAACGTTGCGTACCTAGACTGATCGGTAGGGACAATAGAGGTGATTGTAAACTATTAATATCTTTGAATAGGTTGTATACAGAAAATTCAAGATATTAATAAACTTCTCAGGCACACGCCTCTTCAACAGACAATCCCAGAGAACAGTCCTGTCCAACGAATCGAAGGCAGCCATGATGTCAAGAAACATTACGATTGTTGACCTGTGATAAGTATGAGGGTGTTCTAACCTTTGGCGTAGGTTGAAGATATGATCAATACATCTTCGATCAGAACGAAAACCAACCTACTCCTCGCGAGTCAATCTTCCACGGGTTCTGAACAATCTACGAAGTATGACGGAAGCCAATAGTTTAGACGCAATCGGAAGTAGACTTATCCCTCGATAGTTTTTGCATAGGTGATGTGGACCCTTTCTAAAGATAGGGACGATTATCGACTCATTCCATGATGTTGGAACAGTCTCTAATTGCCAGACCTTTGCAAACAACTCAGCCAGTTCCGTAACCAGAAAGTCACCACCATCTTTAAAAGGGGCCGGAGTTAGGTCATCTGGGCCTAGTGGTTTGTAGCGCCTCAAGAGTTGGAGTTTCTTCGGTATTCCGTGACACGCTACGATATGCCTGATTACCACTTCGGTCACTGTTTTTGCCCGTGGGTCTGCAATGGGTACGGCATCTACCCAACGTGTAGCATGTTCCGTCATCACTAGAAGGTGCTGGTTACCACTCGCCATCTGTAGAAACGGTCCCATCACATCCTCCAACCATAGATTACTAACTGCGGTTACTGGGATTGACTGTAATGGCGGTTGTGCGTATCGATCGCTTTTCATTAGTTGACACTGCTGGCAAGTTAACACGTATTAAGCCACATTGTCTCTCATGCCTGGCTAGTATGCACTTTGTCGTAGTAAATTCGTCGTTCTTGTGATGCCTGCATGTGCTACCTGGTGACACTCGTATATCATCTTACGCCGCTAGTCTTTCGGGATCACAACCACCCAATTCTCGTCATGGTCCTGCCAGGTCAGGACTCTATATACGTTCACTCTCAGTCGTTCCTTTTGCCGAAGCAGCATTATTACCTCCTTGTCCATTGTTCGTTTGTCGACGTCTTCTCCCTCTCTTATCACTCTGATTACCTCTCGAAGGTTAGGGTCAGCTTTCTGCTGCTGGACGAGTTCTAATGGGTCGCCCTCTAAACTATTCACCGCGTATGCTGTCAATGGAAGGTCGGCTTCCATGTCTGGTCTTGAAGAGTAATCCGCCATTACGTTTTCCTTCCCTGGAGCATGGCCGATAATGAAGTCGTACTGTTGCAGATGTATCATCCATCGCGCCAGCTTCCCTTGCTGTTTTCAACCACTGCAGGGGTTTATGGTCAGTCTCAATGTGGAATCGTCTACCTAAAAGGTACGGTCTCTATTTGTCTACTGCCCACACTACTGCTAAACACTCCTTGTTTATCGTTAAATACTCCTGTTCAGCAGGTGTGAGAACGCGACTCGCTTATTTTACCACTCTATCAGACTGACTCAAGACAGCACCTACATTATGATCACTTGCGTCTGTGTCCACTAAACGGTTTCTCGGGTTCAGGCAGTGTGTGTCATCCGACGATCGTCTAGGATATTTTTGATCTGGTTGAACGTTCGTTCGGCAGTCTCAGTCCACGTAAACTTAGTGTTGCTCAACAACTTATATAGGGTGCTGCTATTTCGTTGAAATTCTTGACAAACCGATTGTAAAACGCCGCCCTTCCCAAGAACTGTCTCAACTTTCTTTTCAAATTAGGCACTGAAATATTCCTTATGGTAAGAATTTTCTCCGGCAATGGTTTTATTTCTCCATTTCCCACTTTATGTCCCAACAACGTGACGTTGCTTTTCGCTATTCGCGACTCATCCTTATTAATTCGAAGTCCAAATTCGTCAATTCGCTTTAAGACTGTTTTCACATGCTTGACGTGATCTGTTTTTGTCTGACTGTACACAACTACATCGTCGCCATATACCTCGACGTTGCATAGATCTTTGAGTAGTAGCACTATTAATCTTCTGAACGTAAACGATGCACCCGCCAACCCGAACGGTATTCGTTTAAATTGATACTGTTTATTACGTACAGTAAATGCTGTCTTGCTTCGATCGCTATCTTTTATAGACAGTTGCCAATAACTTGACCGCAAATCTAGCACTGTAAACACCGTAGCATTCTGTAGCCGATCTAACGTTTCCACCACTGTTGGCATTGCGCAACGTTTCAGGTCTGTTATATTATTCAGTTCTCTGAAGTCGACACAAAATCTATACTTCCCACTAGGTTTCTTTACCAAGAGTACCGGCGAGCTATACGGGCTGTCCACTTGCTCAATTATACCTTCTTTCAACATCTCCTGAACCTGTCGACTTACCTCGGCCTCTAAATGCACCGGGACACGACGTGTCGCAAATATATTTACTCGATCGTTCTTTATCGGGATTTTGTGCTGTACAAAATCCATACGGCTCCCCATCTCCAGTGAACAGTTTCGCATACTTTGTGCACAACTTGTTAGTGTTTGGTTTCTTCGTCGAGACGTCCGTTGCCACTCTTATTTCAGTCACTTCGCTACTTTCGTGTATTGATAATGAACAGTACTTTGTGACCACCTTACCGTTTCTTAAGTCAACTATCGCTCTTTCTTCTCTTAGTAAGTCTGCTCCTAATATCGGTCTCGATAAGCTTGTAGTTACCACAACGGAAAATTTATCTCATCATCACCCACTTTTACGACACTTTTAGACACCCCTCCTATGATGTAGACAGCTAATGTATATGGCTTGAGTCTCTTACATTGCTCTTTGCCTATTAACGATACTGCTGCCCCTGTATCGATCAGACAAACTAAATCTCGTTCATTTATGTTCACTCTCGTATAAACTGCCCCTCTATCTACTAGTGCAACAACTCCCAGATTCCTAGGGTAGAAAGAACACATGTTATAACGTCTAAAATATCTGCGTCTTCGTCTTGTTGGACAGTTTATATTCCAATGTCCTGTCCCTCCACAAGCGTAACATTTATCATTCCTTTTATGATTCACCCGCGTTGCCGCAATCTCACGCTCCAGCTCCTCAATCTTTTTCTCTACAATATTTATCTCCTGCTTTCTTCATTCGACCGGAGCTACTGTTCGTGTCATCAGCTGTCGAGTCACCTTCGTCAGTACACTAATATCCATAGGTTGCGCTGTGTTTACTAGTTTCAGCTGCTCGGAGACGGTGGCAGGCACACTCTCGATAAACTTTGACGTCAATAACTGTGCCTCCGACTCTTTATCCGGATTCGGCAGCGCACGGCGCAACAACCTGGTTAACTCCACAGCCAGCACCAGTGGGTCACCATCGACCGACAACCTCGCCAAACGGAACTTCTGCAGTGCCTCCTCCCTGTCCACTGGGCTGTCGAACCCCGCCATCAACCGCTCCGTGACTGTCTCCCATGTCGTCTTTCTGCCAGCACCATCCAAGCTGTATATATACAGCCTTTGCCCTGCCTCTCAGCAGCGTAACCAGCACCACCATCTCCGCCTTCTGCTCCTTCACTCCCACCAGCCCCGCCACGGCCTCAAACTCCTTCAGGAAGCCCACCACATATCCGTCCTCAAATCCCTTCGGCCATGGAATCTTCATCCTTAGTGGAGGTAGAGACACCAAATGTAGTGGAGAACACAGGTGAGGACAACCGAATTATGTTTAGCACAACATTACAGAGTTACTTGGGAAAATAGAAAAACCATACTATAATACCTCATTTGCAAAATGTTCAATAATTGTCTCGGACTTCATTGTTTTTGCATTTCTATACTAATTGCTTTCTATTCCCGTTCTTCCTTTCTTGATCTTCCCAATCTTCGGCTGCCAGACATTACATTCCTGACTCGCGTTATATACTACTTATGTCAATATAAGTAGCACGCACCACATTCCGACGGGTGCAGTAAACATTCGGTAAATATCACTTAAAAATTTGAAATATTCCCATATTGTAAATTTAGAACAACATCAATTTGTACTTTTCACATTTTACTTATTATGTAATCTTTTCCATTGTTATCATTGACTTATAAACTACTTGATTGGTTTAATAATTTCGTATATGCATATAAATATTACTGTATATTAGAGTAAAGCCTGATGAGGATCTAATCGAAAACAATATTGTTCGCTTATATATGTTGTTCTAAATATCACTTACACAGAAAAGTAATAAGACGGCGTCATTATTAGGAAAGGCCGAATAAATTGTATTTTAGAGCAACCACGTCACTTGAAAAATGTCTGTTAGTAAGCTGAAATGATAGTATATATTTTTAAAGCCTAATCTGTGGATATTCCTTTAATTTTGGTGCATCTTAGGTGTGACTTTACATCAGATCTTTCGGTGACATATTGGGTATCATATTTAATAAATTCATATTATATAAGAAAGAAACAGAGAATGACAAAAAGAATGAGTAACTAAAATACTGCATAACAACTTTAGGCTGTTATTAGTTTCATAAATGAACAGCTCGACCACTCTAACTGACTTTCAGATGTTCACTATTTCAGAAATGTCGGATATTCATTTGATGTTTCATGAATGCATCGACTACTACTCCTTAATGGAGTGCTATTTTCCGCTTACAAGTCTGAATGTTACTTATAAACCAGTTATTCTGTCGATAACGCTAATACCTTTTTTGTTGATATTGAATGATGATATTTATTTTTAATCACCATATAGTGATATTCAGTTGTGTAGCTGGGATATCCGAAAGGATATAAATAAAAGTAAAATAATCGAATTTCCTACATAACGTTGCAATAGTTTATCCGTTATTTATTACAAAAGGATTTACTTTTGTTTGTATAATGAAAAGATTGACATGAAGTTAAAAATACTGTTTACAGTTCTCAAAATCAAAATTCCAGGTCTGAAATAAATCAATCATCCCTGCAGCTTTCTGTAGCCTTTAATAACTTAATGATATCAACGCTGTTAAGAATCCTAAGTAAGATTTATGATATAAGCTATTTATAAAGGAACTGTATTGAGTTCCGTGGAATTCAATTCATTAAAACAATGTTAAACGTTATAGGTGCTAAATTCTTCCAGGTTTTTATCAGTGGAAATGAGCTTTTTATTCCTAGATTATTACTATCATAATGGCAACTGTGTAAGTGCCATGTGATCATATGGTAGATGGTAATCACATTGATGAAATGAATAAACTGATGTTTTTCACTGGGGCTCGGTTATTAAACCAATTTTGATCACTAGTATTTAGCAGAGTTAATAATAACTAATTAATAGAACCCAGTATCCAAGTGAGGACTTACATAACTGAGTCTAGCAACACACTTTGTATGGGAGTTAACGAAAATGACCGGAGTTTGCATCTATGACTGTTTGTTCGGAAGTGAACTGCCTTTACCTACAACAATAGTTTCATAAGTTCTAAACACAAAATTGGTGTCGAAATTTTCTAGATGCGATGTTTGATAAAAAATATGAAGGACTTCACCCATTAGAGGTTTGTGGCATTGTGAACGGATAAATCTTTGGAACTGGCAAAAGGTTATTGAGTCTGACTAATGGTGTACGGTTAAACAGAATTCAAATAGAAAATAACTTGGAGATATATAGTTCAGGAACAATAGTCATGCATATACATTCAAACAGTCATAGGATTCTAATGTTATTTCCATTTATAAGAAAACTAATTTGATCACAATGATATCGATTATTGTAAGTTTTCAAACTTTATTTTCCTAAACAAACCCTTTAATTGAATTTCCTACTTCCAGCTTTCGCATCCCAATATCATCATCACTTTGTTTTAGATATAATAAAGTCTCAAAAAAAAGTATAGTTATGGATCACATTATTTCTGTTTGCCTGATTTTCTGATGATTAAACGGAAGTGTCAAGTGCATGAACAATCGTGTTGGATAGGGAAAACAAAATAGTTACTGAGTAACCTTATTGAACTAGACGAAAGACAACTGAAAAATGAACAAGAGCAAAGTGGAAAATAACAACTGATTCCTTAGTTTCAAACTTCCAAGCATGATGCATCCTCAATAGAAAGCAATCGATTTTCGTGGTCACAGAGCAAGCTCGCAAAGACAGGATTTAAAGACTATCAGATTTTTTTATTTCTTCTTGGAAAATAGACGGCCATAAAGTCATCTTACACTAATCCAACCATCGTAATTCCCTAGAAGACTTAAGGTAAACCAAATATTACATTAATTTATCAAAAATAATAAATGTGTATGCTTCAGTAACAATGTGGGGAAAACCAAAGAATAATTCTGCTAACCTTCATTAGAATATCCCAAATCACTTTGTGGATCATTTTCTCTGTTCAGAGAATATATCGGTTTTGTAGGAAACCTGATATCCCAATACAGTACTCTCCCATCACGCCTGATAACAATTTGTGAGAAACAATATATTTGTTTAGCAATACTTTGATATTTTACATGGAAAAATATTTCCAGCTACAAGAAAATACATGAATATTCTAAATTATTTGATATTAACCATTTAGTCCGTGAACTCGATTACCACGCACAAATTTATATATAATGATGTAAGAAAAAAAGTAATTAATTCACAGTGATTCAGTTTTGAAATATGTCTGAGGATGAAAAATCTTAATATTTGTTAGTGAACATAAAAAATAGCGGTAAATGTCAACAAGAAATTAGGTGCTAATTTTACTAACTGCTCTATCCATAACATTACTATTACCCAGTTAAAAGATAGGAACTGTAACCCTTTTCTCGTCAATAAGCATAGTGCTGCTTTTATAGACTAGTTCAGTTGTTTCGTTGAGAATGTAGTCACTGCTCAATCGTAGATGCCACCGTGGCATGGTGTTCAAGCTTGGTTATTGTAATTATTCAGTCAGGCTATGTTGGCTGGATCCCTTATTCCCTTATGTCTGTCATGCCATGCACGTCGGTCGAACAGTAAGACTAAAAGTGGCAACTTAAAGTTTGAGGGTGTAAAACTGATAAATGTACAAAAGTAAGGTGGCGGTAAGATTTCCCACAGACGACCAACATCAGTGGTGCCATCTCAGGATGGAAACAAGAGGTTACGAAAGATCTGTCTTAGAAGTTACACAACAGATTTACGTCTCCGGTGGCAAGGACTTTAATCTATGGAGCTAATATATCAGAACTCGTGACACGCCGTATAAGCCAGACTCAAGCAGTTGTACTTAGGCTTTATAGTCAAGCTCCCAGGCTATCCCATTTTCACTTTAGGTACCTCAAGAAGTATCCATCAATCACGTGAAAAACTTGGAGGTGGAAAGTGGCCACATACGTTAAACACCACTCAAGATCCTTTTGTTCATGATCAAATCCCTTCGTCACTTCTTAATACCTTTATCCCTAATCCCGACCCTTCTCCTATAACTTTATTTTTATCACCACGCATCACCAATTCTAGCCTCCTGGATCGGTGCCCTAAACTACATGTTAGGGCATTCAGTGTTTGAACCTTAGATAAAATAAAACATGATTCATTAGCTAGAGCACTAAAACCTCTTGCTATCGACATACATTATTCTCAGAAACACATTTACATCATACGAGTGTGATCATTTACTTGGCCTCATTAATTCGATATAGAGAACCGTCTTGATTCACATTCCATGTATCTGAAGTCTCGACTGTTACCTCTCGTAGACTCATCAGCGTAGGCGAGATATCCGTCTATCAACCAAAGGACGGGTTTACTGCGCAGCAGTTCGTCCCGTCCTTCTTTATGGCAGTGAAACATGGCCGGTAAGAGTAGAGGATATTCGTAGGTTACTAGTATTTGATCATAGGTGTCTTCGAAATATTGCTCGTATATCCTGGGACCATCGAGTAATTAGCTCAGTTGTTAAGAAACGGGTACTAGGTAAGGATGGCAAGTCAATTGATGAAGTAGTAAAACTTCATCAGTTGAGATGGCTGGGACATGTGTTACGTATGCCCAACTACCGACTGCCACGACGTGCGATGTTCAATGGCATAGAAGTAGGTTGGAAGAAAGCTAGGGGCGGCCAGACCAAAACATGGCACAAATCCACGAAGTCACTGACAAGTGGACTGAGTCATGTTGGTAGGTGTAGACTACCTGGTTGGGGACCACGAGATGATAGCAACCGATGGTTAGAGACCCTGAATGACATGGCTCAAAATCATTTGCAGTGGTGCAGGTGCATCCACTCTTTGTGTTCTCTCGAATTCTAATCTTCTGAATTCTTCATGTCCCTTTTTCCTCTTTCCAAATTTATTTCACTGAATTATACTACTTGAGTAACATCTTCAAACCCTAGTCTTTCCTATTACTGCTTATACTCTTACTACCTCTACCACTACGGGATTTGAATCGACAACTGCATCTCTGTGCTAATGTGGTATGGCAACTTGAACTGATGTACGTACGTATGTACGTACGAAGTTTCACGTTGGACTGACTGACATCAGCGTAGATATGACATTAAGTTTCAGGATGGAACATGCTTTTCTGGACTATACTCTGATAGACAGCCACTTGTGTGCTTTCCAATTGAGGGGGTGATAGTCGGAAACGAAAGGAACACATCCTGCTGCTTTCCTGTCGTCTCTATCCAAACTCCCGCTGATTGTAGTTTAGATGAAGTAAAAGTAAGTTTTACAGTATGTTTCCCACTCCAGTTCAAAAAGTCAAACGCTTCTTCGTACTCGTAGCAGAGGATTTTAACCCTCAAGTAGCTAGTCTAAACTAAAATGAAAGATATTTAGAGGGGTCTTATAATATTCCAGCATAGCGAACAGGCAACGACAACGGCATGCTGAAACTACGGTCAGACAACCATTTATTTTTAGCAAATACCAACCTTAAGTATAAAGAGACATCATGTGACCTTCCTAAAATCGACCCAATGATGAATCTAAATAGACCATATCCACACCAACCGTTGCTAGTGAGGCTCAGTAGTAGATCGCTACTTGTCCTAGGGCACATGTATAGATTCTGACAATGTTACAGTACGATTACGCATTTGTCTGAGTCTTGAAACAACAAAATCACTGCAAGAAAACTCCTTAATCTTCAGCTCGTCGAACACCTAGAGAAGCATTTATCCGATCATCAAAGCAATGCTTAGCCCGATGTACGTTGGGACAATATTCAAACAGCTGTGAAAACAACAGTGATATTTTCTAATGACTTAAACCAAAAGGTTTGGAAAAATCAAAGGATTTTAGTGGCGTCTGCCGGATTGACAGATGTTCGGAAATTTATCCCATCAGACTCGGAACACGACGAGGAGTGAAGCCAACTTGAACGCACAATGACTAGAAGTCTATAAAATTATCGCGAACAGCGGTGGCAGCTGGGCCAGTAGAGACGGAAAAGACAGCAGTGATAGACAACCAATAACAACTTCCAGACATATCAAAGAAACCAGTGTTAAAAATCGAAAGTAATTGAGACAATTTCGGTAGAAGATGGAACATTGATCTACTATTAGCCCAGGAGATTAGTAAGATGGGCATAGTATTTTGAGGAACAGTATGGCTGGTTTCCAGCCACGCCACTGTGGATATATACATCATGTTTTGACACATAGACACATCTAATGACGCCCAACAAAGACTGTATTTCTTGACTTTAAGAAAGCGCTCAACTCCGTAGATTGACAGGCTTTATAGCAATATCTGTCACTGAAAAACGCACCAAAGAAGTACGTCAACTTTGTACAGACTCTCTAATCAGACATTACTAGTCAATTCAGGATTGATAACATCAAGTGTTCGTCGAGGTCGTCCGTCTCCACACTTTCTTAACCAACTTTGCCATAGATATCCTTTCAGAGATAACACTTTTCTCATTAACCACTTCACTTATCTTAAAAGTCTCGTCAGCTTTGGTGGGATTGAGTGGGACGAAATCTGGACATGGATTTAAGAAGCTCGCTTGGATTTCGCTAACTTACGTCACCTGTCCATCTCTCAACCAAAAGATGAGTATACTTTGCAGAAGTTCCTTTCGTTCTACTTTGTGGTTGTGAAACATGGCTTTTAAAAATGAAAGACATTCGTAGGTAACTAGAATGTTGTCATAGATGCCTTCATGTATTTTGGGACCATTAAGTGTGCAATGCTGACGTTAGACACACCATATTAGATGTAGATGGCAAATCATTTGATATGCACAGTGATTCGTGGTCGCCTGAGATGGCTGGGACATGTATTACGTATCCTCAATCACGCTCTTACTTCAATGTAATCAGTCAGTCATCCACAATGTATGACCAGGTACATACATACATCGGTCCGAGTTGCCATACCTCATTAGCACAAGATGAACACTAAATTCATAGAAGCAGTTACTTCAATAATGCTTCGACACACGATGATAGTTGATGTGAGCGGTTAGAAGAAGGCTAGGGACGCCCTAACCAAGGCATGGAATCAGTCCATGTGATCACTAACTGTTGGATTGAGATACATGGGTGGGTGTAGACTATTTGGTTGGGGTCAGTGGGATCCTCATAATCAATGGATAGACTTTAGGTCACATAGCTCAGAATCGCTTGCGATGGAGCAGGTGCATTCGCTATTTATCTCCGTCTTAATCTTGAGCACAAAAATTAACTAACAATTTTTTATTTCACCAACCTACATTTCCTTTCTAAAACAAAGTTCATTTCGAAACTTTCTACTACCATCGATACTGTAATTACTTCCATTGCTAAGGCATTTCGCTGTGTCAGTACGATGTGGCAACTTTAACCGATGCACATACTTCCCAGGCTCTGTGTGACTAATAGCTGACTATTAATACGTCCTAGAAAAAGCATAAGAAGGCACCATGCGAACACACAAGCATCTTTTATTGATATAAGTCTAATCACTAAAAAGAATCTGGCTTTTTGTTATTGCTGACCTACGACTTTTTACTTCAGTTAAGGTTTACAAGTAGTGAGTTTTAAAACGGTTTCTAATGTTACCTCACTTCCAATAATACGAAGTCTTAAATTTAGTAAAATTTACTTTTTTGATGGACTGGAAGTGGATTAAAACCATCCAAACGCAGTTAGTCGCAATAGAAGCTGATTAGTTATGAATGATGTTAGCGACTGAACGCATATTCAGCAGTCACAAGGAGATAAAAGAAACTGTCGAAAACTATTCAGAAATTCCACAATGTAAAAGGCAAATAAAACTGAAGGTAGCCCAACAAAGCTAGTACTATGAAAATTATTTTGAGTTGTATATTTATTCGAATAAACAATAAAGATAGATGGTATTCAAATTAGTGTTTATATACAGAATTCAATGTTTTTTCGTTACTAACCTAAGTAAGTTGATATAAGTTACTCAAAATAAGCTTTTGAAAAAAAACTTATTAATAAGATCAGCAAGAAAGGTTTCCCTCAGTGTGGAGCTTTGGATTTTTTTTCGCAATTGACACTTTGGGATAAGTCGTGTATTTATCAGTTCACTTGCACTTTCATAACTAGTTATTTCGGCTGTACAAAGTGTACTCTCTTTTAATACATTGCTGAACATAATCAGTTTGAGTTGTACTAAGGTGAGTGTAAAACGATCAAAAGTTCTATTATTAAACACTTAGTTGACCTTTTTCATGAAGGCTCTCCAGAAGTATCATTTGAAACTATCTATAAGGTTAGACAATCTAACTCAGAAGCAATATAGATCAGAAATCTATGGACACAGGGTACTGAAGATTCATCATTTCAATTAAGATCTGTGAGTTTAAAAACAAAACGTTCAAGCTCTCATTTTACTCTGATTTTAAAAATTAATGATGAAAGTAACCATAATACACCCTTGTTAATTTTGGAAGTTTCGACTCATTCTTTACTTGATCACATATTTTTAAAATAAAGTTATTTTCCATCTGTAATCTTGTTCCGTTTTACTACATTACACTACACTTTATTTCCTGATACATGGAAACATTTTCGATTATCTTTTAAATGGTGTAAAATCTATTTTATCGCAAACTTACGTACGAGTACGCTGAAGCCGACTGACGATATCGAAACTTAAATGCAAATACTTTTCAGACTTAAAGAGAATAATCTAAAAGAATTATAGACGATTGTTATAAACTCACCCTCCTGTAACAACAACATAAGCAGCCCTAGGGGACCAAGTAACTTGTGTAAGGCCTGATTGAGAATGACTTCCAAGTAGTGTAGTGACTGTACAACCCATAAGAGGATCAACTAAAACGGCGCGGCCAGTTGATTCACCACTACATGGTCCTAGACTAACTGCGATCAGATTGTGACTACATGCCACAGGTGACATAGATAACCAGGACAAACTTTGGGCGAAACTTACTGACGTGACGCACTACGACAAAAGAAGAAATAGAAGTCGTCAATGATGATATTGATATTAATAAAAAGAAGTAGAAAAATATACGCTGTTATACACCAATAAATGACCATATAACAACATGTTCTGCAGGACAGTAGTTTTCCAAATATATACCAAGAATTATGTTAAGAAGAGAATGCTACTCAGATGCCTAATGCAGTTCGGTAAGTAGGTCTTTATCATATACTATACCGAAGAATCTGCCTTTCTGTGTAAAGAAATAGCTTATTGATTGATTCAAAGTACTTTAGTTACTAACCCCCAAATTACTGATACGGTCGAAGGTGGGGAGAGTTCGCCCTCCCTCTTGAAATGCTCTCACGTGGCCACGCGTATATAGCCTCTGCCAGGGAAGCCCTACCCACTGCCTTCTCGCAGCGGGGGTGTTGCTTACGAAATTGAGAGGACAAAAAACGAACTTCCGGTTCCTTAACCGGGTTGGTGGATATGGAAGATCCAACTAGGGGAGTTGGAAAACCGTGATTCCAAACCAATGGTGCACATGGACTCCAGGATCCTGGGGGAAAAATGGTGTATGAACCTATTGTTGGTCACCAGATACCATGCAACTTCATCTCCTAATGTTGCTCCACTGTCTTGTGGACCAGACCTTTTGGTTAAAGGCTCGGGGAGCAGCACCCTAAGCAAAACACCTGCTTCGGTTTGAGCAGTATCCCAGCTCTCACGCAAATCAAATGATTAGTGAGGTGCATATATATTTGATGCCTCATTGTGCCAATGTTCGTGTGTTTAATTAATTAATTAACTAGAATTAAAGCATGGACACCAACATATCTGTTTCAGTTTTACCTAGATCATAAGTCCACATAACAAATCCGGCTCATAACTTGTTGAACAAATATGAATGCAATTTCTCAAATGCAACTTAGTAGCCATTTTTATTTAGTTGAACACATAAATGTTGGTACAAAGAGGCACCATAAATATATGCGCTACACAAAACAATGAGAATGGGAAGGGAAAAGAGAAGGTAAGGTGCGTATAAGAAAAAAGAAGTACAACACTGAACAGAAATTGGTGTATGGTAGTGAAATAACAATAATGGGATGGCCAGTTCAAATACCAAAAGTACAGCCACAGACAGTTCTTCCAATTAAGGTTACGTCTTTCTTTTTATGAAGAAAGTAAAATAAAGTTACGGCAGGTTCGCCATTGGCTTCTATTCTGAGCCATATCTGATAACGTCTCTAGCCACTGTGTTCCATCATCTCTCAGACCTCAGCCAGGGAGTCGTGAAGGACCAATAGAAGCCAGCCCTTTGCAGCTTTCATACCGCGACACTATGTCATACACTGACCACCTCTCCGCCTTTTCCAACCAGTCCCAACGTCGGCAAGTATTGCACGACGTGGAATTCTCTGGGACGACATTCGTAGAACATGTCCAAGCCACCGAAGTCGATGTTTCAAGATGGTACCAGACCCCTGCATTACTAACATGGTGTTGCCACTGGATGTCAGCAATCCTTCGGAGACAACGATGATCAAACACAGAGAGTCGTCTAACATCCTCAATTTGGAGAAGCCAGGTTTCACAAGCATAGAGCAAAACTGCTCTCACCGACGCGTTGTAGATCCGACCTTTTACAACCAGACTGACATCACGAAGGCGCCAAAGATGGCCCAGATTGGCATTGGGCTTATCACTCACGCCACTACCAGCACATATGCAGCTACCCAAATACACAAACTTCTCGACTACTTCTACCTGCTCACCATCCAGGGTGAGTACAGGATCAGGGTCCTGCCAGTCTTGTAAAAATACTTTTCACTTAGAAGGTGCAAAGCACATACCATACTTACGGACACTACTTGCCAACTGATTAAGTGCGGATTGCATGTCTTGGGCATTATCGCACAGTAAGACAATATCGTCCGCATACTCAAGGTCGAAAAGTCTTTCTCCAGGCAACAGATCCACACCGCCATTACTTACATCCATCAGAGCTGTTTCCAGAATGTCGTCGATGCTAAAGTTGAAGAGGGATGGTGAGATTGGACAATCCTGTCTAACCCCACTGCTCGAATGGAACAATAGAGAAAGGTGGTTGTATGCCCTCACTTTGCCTGAGGTGTTTGTATATAGGGCTTTTAGGATGTTAATAAACTTCTCAGGCACACGCCTCTTCAACAGACAATCCCAGAGAACAGTCCTGTCCAACGAATCGAAGGCAGTCCTGATGTCAAGAAACATTACGATTGTTGACCTGTGATAAGTATGAGGGTGTTCTAACCTTTGGCGTAGGTTGAAGATATGATCAATACATCTTCGATCAGAACGAAAACCAACCTACTCCTCGCGAGTCAATCTTCCACGGGTTCTGAACAATCTACGAAGTATGACGGAAGCCAATAGTTTAGACGCAATCGGAAGTAGACTTATCCCTCGATAGTTTTTGCATAGGTGATGTGGACCCTTTCTAAAGATAGGGACGATTATCGACTCATTCCATGATGTTGGAACAGTCTCTAATTGCCAGACCTTCGCAAACAACTCAGCCAGTTCCGTAACCAGAAAGTCACCACCATCTTTAAAAGGGGCCGGAGTTAGGTCATCTGGGCCTAGTGGTTTGTAGCGCCTCAAGAGTTGGAGTTTCTTGCGGACTTCATTCTCTTAGAAGACCACTCCCCGAGCCTTTGACCGAGAGGTTTCATCCACAAAGTAGTGGACTGACATTAAAATACGCGGTTCCATGGTATCTGGTGACCAACAATAGGTTCATGCGCCATTTGTTACCTCGAATCCTGGAGCCTATGCGCAACATTGGTTTGGAATCACGGTTTTCCAACTCCCCTAGGTGGATCCTTCGTGTCCATCAACCCAATTTAAGCGTCGGACATTCGCTTTTCGTCCTCTCAATTTCGTAAGCAACACTCGCACCGCGAGAAGTCAGTGAGCAGGACTTCCCTAACAGTAGCTCTATACACTTGGCCATGTGGGAACATTTCGAGAGAGAGAGCGATCTCTGACTCTCCTCACACCAGACTACTTGTTGCCAGTGTCTCGGATCAGTTGAAAGAACTTCCGGCAGCTACTGAGTAAAGCTACTGCTTCCAACTCGTTAGCGTTATCCGACCACCAAGCTTCTCTGCCCTTACGCAAACTTACAAAAATTTCATTACGTAACAGTCTTCGTTCATCGTCAAACTTGTGGTTACTCGGAGTAGACAAACGTGTCTCAGCGAGTTGTAAGGAGCCTGTAAAGACTCAATGCTTATGAGCAGGACGCTTCGTGAAGCCTAGTTTAAAAGCCACACATAACTTCAGAAAGACTACTTCAGAATTCGTATTCGGTGGTAACATTCAACTTCCGACCAGTCAGTGACTTAGGATCGTTTAGAAAGGACAGAATTTCCACTATTGTGTTATTGGAAAAATAACAGAGTAAACTGCTATAACTTGTGACCGCCGATTAGAGGGTAGTGGATTATCGATCGGGCCAAGCACGCGTTAACACGTGCGAGCAGCCTACAGTTCTGATTGGTCCTGCTTTCCGCCTAGCCCAGCCAGTTAAGTCCAAAACACCAGTCTCAGCCTCTGAAATATGAATCATGTATTTCAAACATACTCTGTTTATATACCAGTCAAGCAGACCACATCGTACCATAAAACAGAAAATAACATTTGTACAAGACTTGACCAAATGTGGCTGTGAATGTGGGAGGTAGTGATTAATAGACGGAATAATTCAAGAATGGAAAGTCGTATAATAACAGTTCATAGGTTAAAATAAAGCTTATGATAAGAGAAATATGAATATGAATAGTTAATTAACTATTATACGACAAAAATATACGCACAGTATTGGTCCATAAATAGGTCCCAAAAAATTACCACTCATTATTCTTATCGGGACACAACATAAACAAAGGGTGAATAGATAAGTGACGCAGTGTATAGTAAAAACGAATGTTAGCAAATAGTTTGGAGTATGATTTTCAGGAATGGGGATTAAAGTATGGATGGTTTCCTTTAGTTGTAGTCATCAATAAGTTCGTGTGTGAGCTGAGATACTGCCCGGGCACACAAACAGGAACAGGTAATTTTCTTAGCAATCAGTGCCCCCAATACGTTTGGTTCACTTACACATGATACCTAAGCTAGGTAGTTTCATTAAAAACAGCGGTCAGTACCTCGTGAAGCACTTTACGAAGATATGTGGACAGATATACTTGATAAATTTAGTCGAATTAGTAACAATCGGATTTTTTTGGCAGTGGTAGCTGTGTGTGAGGAGCGTGTTAACCTCCCACTGATACGTTTTATTCAAGTAATAAATACTCCTCGGAAATTTCCAGCCATATTAACCAAGTTTTTGACTTAAATAATAAAAATAGAATTTCATATCAGTTATTACACTCAGTACTCATGCTAACAGCAAAAACTCAGCGGTATGTAAACAAGACAACAAATGATTTGCCCGTCATATGATAAAGGCCCAGACATAAGGAATAACTGTGGGATGTTATCATACATACAGTTCATCACTAGCTAATTGCAGCATTAAAAATGAAAGCAAATGTCATAACTGATAAACGTTTGAACACCTGATTTAACAATGCTTACAACCAAGATAAAGATTTACTAGAATTTCCATGCATAAAACCGTACACACTGAAGTTATGGCGAATTCTGAACTGAATGATCCGGTCAGTATTCAGAAATATCAAGACTAAGACTCGGTTTGTATGCATTTCACACTTACAAGTGCAATTATATTTGTACAGAATTCTAACCAATAGCCAATATTCCACACCGGTGAAAATACGTACATCGTGGAAATCTACAACAAACTTGTGCAACAGGACTTTATACAAACATAATGAACATATTGGAAAAGTTAGACATACTTCAAGGCGGTTGGTGTCCCATATCCCAAGCATTTTATTAGCTGACGCCGAAGTGAAAGAACCACTGTCAACTGGATACCATTGTACACAAATGAGTGGGGATCCTTTCGACAGAAATCCTGAACCTTTACTTCTGTTACAAACAGATGCAATCGAAGTGTGTTTAACTGAGTCAAGACTAAAAAAACTTGGGTCTTCAACATCAAATACATATATGTGGCCGTCCTGTGATCCAACAAGTAGTCTATAGTGCCAAGTGGGACGAAAATGTGATGCTTACAAGCGAGACTCGACGCTGTCGATAGTCATATCGCACAATTGTGCGTTCGATTCAAAGGAGAACACGGTCCTATGATCGACATCAATATCTTGGATTCTGTTCCGCATGTGAGTATTTTGGTATTGATGATCCAGCAAATTATGATGCAATCCGTTCATGTGTTATTATTATTCAGTAAGAAACTGGAGTAGACAGTATTTACAGCAAAAATGCGTAACCCAATACGCACCAGTTAACTTACGGAAGTTCTCAAGGACAGAAGCCAATGTCCAATAAATCCCACTCTTTAGCATTAGGGAATCGAACGCATTCAAATAGTTCTATACATAATAGAAAAAGCTTTCACCTAACGGACTTCTGTGTCTAGTAACAATGGATCACACATGCCTCCAGTAAAGAACCTAAATATAATTAACGAAAAAAGTGAAAAAACTGGACCCCATCTTAATTTTATTAGATCGCGGTTTGTGAACCTTCTTGCTATGATCTCGGAGATCATTAGTGTTGGAGGTAGCAAAAAGATAAGACAATATTAACACTGAAATCGTAATTAAAGATACGAAATACCAGTAGAAGGTCACCTCGCGTCCTACGATACGACAAGGGGAAAAGGTTATTTAAAAAGACAGTGGTATTGTTTCCCATCGAGTTAAATTAACTGTTTCGATCGTAAATTATGCATCTAAACTGCTGTTTACACTTTAATTGCATCTACATCAGTTAAAGTGATATTGTATTTGAGTGTTTTCATATTGCATCAAAGCGTACTTGATGGACTTTTACTTGATTTATTTAGTTGGAGTTTGAGAATTATTTTATATATCCAGTTTGTGTTACAATTTTAGTTGACTTTCAAGATGGTCAGCTCTGCTCATAAACGTGGACAACCATATTGCTGATTCCCCGTAGAGGAAGGATGAATGTAATAAATGGTTCCATAAGATGTGCACCCTATTAAGCCCCACTGCATATAAAAGGCGTTCAAAGCCCAACCCTCATCCGCTTTGTAGTTTTTGTTGCTCGAGCAAAACATTGCTCATCCATAAAAAGCAGTTAGCCTCCTGACGTTGGCTAATAAGAAGGTTGATGAGGGCCGTACTGGTAAAATTGGTACTGATGGCGAAGATTGCGTTAGTGTCTAAGTGCTGTCACGGCAAAGACCAGACATCCAACTGTGCAACCCGCAGTTAAACGATTTCCCTCGAAACGATCAGTGAGTGACACCTCATTAGATATTGATGGTCATGTTGCTACAGCTGCGACTAGTGATCCAGATAAGACAATTACTGCCCCGAGTAGTTCGAACGTAGATGCTACGACTGATGGGATATGGATGACGCAAAAACACAGAAGAGTAGAAAAGATAACTAAAACTAATGCCTATTTACTTGGTAGGCCCTTGGTGGACTCTCAGACCGAGCCGCCGAAGTCCCAAAGTAAACCTTCGTCAAACATTGTTGTGAGTTACTCGCTCGACTCCCATGACTCTGTTACGATGGAAACTGATTGTAAGATGCCAGTAGTTAATATGCAGGATCTAACATCACGATTGAAAGCCGTGAACACAATTTCAAAAGACACTAAATCCCTTCCTAGTTTAATTATTTGGAATCTAGAGGAGTCGAAAGACAACAACCCTGCTAGAAGACATTCACATGACTTGCAGTTAGTGGGGTCTGTGGTAAGAAGTGTACTACCTGAAGAGGTTTCGGGGGTAAATATCACGGGAGTAATACTTGGTAAATGGGTTGGAGGCGAGACCCAACCAAGAAGGATCTTGAAGCTGGTTCTCCGGAATTTTGATGGAAGAGATATAATATTGAATAACGCACAAAAAAATCCTGATTCAAATATTCGTATCCGACCAAATTGTCGGCTTGAGGATCGAATCAAGTGGAAGAACGCTCTTACGGAGTTAAGAACTTGAAAGTCAGATGGCGAAACTAACCTTACCAATAAGGGTTTTCGGGTAGTTAGGTGTTGGAAGCCAATGCTTCCGAGGTCTGTATAGGAAGAAGGAATGATTCCCAGAACATTCTAATTTTGTGCTACACAAACGCTCGTAGTCTTAGAAATAAAACGTCCGAGCTAAGTCTGATAGTGGATGAATTAAGACCGACATAATTGTTGTTACAGAAACTTGGTTCACGGTATATATAGAATGTTCTCCCATCATTGCGGGCTATATCTGTATTAGAAGTGATAGTTTAAAGTCGCAAGGAGGGAGGCATAATGTTATACGTTAAGGATCACTTTCCTATACAATCAATCATATCGGAGACTCATGTTATTGGTACATGTGACGTAGCATGTTGTAAAATTAAATCGAAAAATGGGTTAGTAACTATAGGGGGAATATACCGTAGTCCTTGTTGTCTTGCTGATGACCTTATCTTAAGACACATCTGTTCTTGGAGTATGGTAGAATGTTGTCTCATCATTGGGGACTTCAACGCACCGAATATCAACTGGATAGAGCTTACAGCTCCAGGTAGCGGTTTCGATAGTGACTTTTTATCAACCGTTATTCAGTGTGCACTTGCACATTGTATCCCAAAACAGACACATACTAACTTGAAACATGATCCGTCGCTGCTGGAACTTGCCTTCATCCACCACTGTGAGGATGTCTTTGATATTCAGCACCTTCCCCCACTAGTGAACAGTGATCACGTTGTACTTTACTTGAAGTTTAGGACAGATGGTAGAAAGTTTTTATCTGCTCCAGCCCGTCCCAATATCTGGGGAGCTTCTCCCTGAAAATATTAATTTACGATAATCTACGATCAAAACACTTAATTTAACTCGATGGGAAACAATACCACTGTCTTTTTAAATAACCTTTTCCCCTTGTCGTATCGTAGGACGCGAGGTGACCTTCTACTGGTATTTCGTATCTTTAATTACGATTTCAGTGTTAATATTGTCTTATCTTTTTGCTACCTCCAACACTAATGATCTCCGAGATCATAGCAAGAAGGTTCACAAACCGCGATCTAATAAAATTAAGATGGGGTCCCGTTTTTCTCATCGAGTAGTCAATGATTGGAACGCCTTTCCCGAACAATTGGTATCAGACCCATCAGTTAATATTTTCAAGGAGAAGCTGGACCTTCGCCGGAAGGCAATGTGTTAGGATTAACACATGTTCAACAACCTACTATCCTTATTTCTAAAGACTAGTTGTTTTAAGCGCTCACAGTAAGGGAGTTTAGAAAGACTCTTCACTAGTTTCGTTCCCACACGCTGAACACACTCAAGTGGGTTAGAACTCCTTACCAGACATGGGCCAGTTTCTTGGATACAGTAATCTAATTGTGGTTTTACACAGGTGAGATATGAAATTCGAAACATTTCCTCGCCAAAGCATTTGAATGCATAGCGAAGTGACGATGACGCACGAAAACCTTTGAGAGCAGCTGCGTTGCAATGCGTATTTGTCCGAAATGGTGCCTTGGGGTACATTACTTTTTACCGGCTTACAATCGGATGGCGTCCCATTGACCCTCATTCTCGTTCTGCGGTCACATAAGAAGTTTCCTATCCATTCCTGCACGGCGCCTATGATTCAGAAGCTCGGGAGCTTCTGCATAAGACCTAAGTGTGAAACCTTGTCAAATGCTTTCCTCAAGTCTATGAATATCCCATCAACTAACAGACCTTTATCTAAGGCTGCTGTCCAATCCTCTCTCGCAATAAGTAAGTTAGTCGAGCATGAATGCTTGTTATGATACACATGTTGCTCCGAAGCTAACAGATTGTGTGAATCTATGTGACTTAGCTACTTAACCCGTTTAATCTTTTCAAGTAACTTAACGACTATGCTGGTTAAATTGGCAGGTCGGTAGTTAGATATGATCTGTCTCTGACCATCCTTAAATATAGGACTGAATATGGCGTCTTTCCACCCACTAGCAAGTCGAGCGAGTGAAAAGGATATGTTGGGGAGTGTCGCGAGGGGTTGTAGCGTGGTGTCGAGTCGTGATTGACTATGAACACCGCTACCAAAAAACACGTGCCAAGTTAATCAGAAAGCGAAGATCGAACGTAACCAGATTTATTTCGTTGGCGATCTCGTGGTATTGAACGAATACCGAGATCGTGCCAAGAAGTGGTACAAGTGGAAGCAGAAGACAGGAGTACGTGCGAACAGTACCAAAAACCGCGGAACAATGATGGAAGGTAATGGAAGCACAAAATGGCTATAATTAGCACAGTTAAACAAAAGCACATTAAAACAAACACTGGTACAGTTGGTTATAATAATAATTGTTTTTATTAAACCAGTCGTGTTCTCGTGATAAATGTGAGTCACTACAGGAGCCCCCCGCTAGAAAGGGTTTACACTTTCGATAAATAGCGGTTTGAATCGTGGGACTGATCGGCTGACGAGCGATTGTAGGACGGAAGAATTGGCGAACAGGAAAGCGATCGTTGATCGTCGAGTTGCCAACGAAGGTCGTTTTCGGAGAACGGTACCAGGAGCGATGTGTTGTATTTGTTGCTTGAGTTGGCATGCTACACCAGAGTGGTTTGTATCCAGAATCTGAAGATGGCGTTCGTAGGGGTCCGGACCAGAAACGCTGCAGACGTAGGACGAAACCACGTTGAGCCGATGAACCAGAAGCGACCATAACGACCAAGTTCGAGACCAAGCGTATGCCAAACATTCGAAACCAATATATCGACTGAGTACGTTGACAAGAGCGTGGGTGATCAGGCCAGCTTTCGCCAAAGTTGACTGAAGTCGACGGAACCAAACGGAGATGGTCGAAGGCGTGGGCTCAGGAAACAAAAAGAAAATCAAAAAAGAGAAGAGTGTAGCATGCGTGTAGTATAGGAATAATCCTACACCGTATCGGTTGTTGACTGTGCGACTAGTCGCGGAAGCGTACGGGTAACCGTACTCGGCGACCGGAACGTGAGACGGCAGTCTCGTTCGCGTCGCGTGAGCCTGCAATCTCATCCGAAGTCAAGGGCGGCGTGGTCTGCTGATCTGGACGTGAGACTGTCGTCTCGTCCGTAGACGGTGCAGATGACGCGTGCTGTTGACTGGGACGTGAGAATGAGGTCTCAGATGTATCTAGCGTGGGACCTGAAGATGGTTTGAGGATCCCGCTAGTAGGTTTGTTAGGTCTAGCATTGAATCTCAGGTTATCAGATAGGGCACTGTCATCGACGTGTGCTGGTTTGAGACGATCAATGCTGACGATCTCGACGCGGCCGTGTCGATCAACCTTGAAGGTCTTTTCGTGACGAGCGATCACGCGAAAAGGGCCT